TTTTTCTCACAATAGGAAAATGTTTTTCGTCCCTCTGTTTTGTTTCCCCCCCCCCCCCCACACTTTTAGCACAGAGTTTTGATCCTGAAACGATTCTGGTGTGGAACTGCACTGCCCTCTGCTGGAGAGAGACACTCATAGCCCAAGGCTTTGCTTTGCTTAGTGCGAAAACTACAAATGAATCTCAATCAGTTAGAACGTCATTGTCATTTATTTCAGCAGTTTAATTCTTTAAAGTGAAACTCTGAAGCACATATTGATATATTTCAGGTGTTTAAATATGTTTTTTTTTTGGAAATGGATTTTTAATTCCATGCATATCGGTTATCTAAAGTTGATTGATCTTATTGACTTTAGATTGACAGTCGGCTATTTTCTCATGTGCTGAATAAAAAAAAAAAAGCACATCATTATATTTTAACTATTAGTTTTTTGTGTCAGCTGTGTTATATATTGACTGAGTAAACAGTAGCATTACTAAACTTAGAGGTGTCTATAAAAAATAAAACAGAAACTGTGGTTAAGTAAAGGGGGTCAAAGTGGCTGTATGTATCTGGGCATTTTAATATAAAGTTGAGTGGAGGGAAAAACTGGTAGAAAAGGTTACAAAAGAGGAAATTAGTACAGCATTAAGAGGATTGTAAATAATATCCTATTTAGTTTGGGGAGCGTCACCAAGTATGGATGCTTTTTCAAAGACCAATAAACTTTAATTTTCTAAAGAAAACTTACTACTGGAGCTGGAAGATGATTTGAATATCCAAAATAATTCCACAACAACCAAAACCAATAAATAAAATGGAAATGAAAAACCCCACTGACAACTAAAATCAATTATGAGGCATCTGTAAACAAAACACTTTAATCTGTAGAACAGGAATTATTTTAATGTATCATGTGGTTAATTGATAGTGACATGTCACTCATGTCACCTTTTGATTTATGAGTTGTCTTAAAGGTTGTTGGAGTTTGATTTGTGAGCTAACATCAGAAATCCCCGTTCCATCGATGAATACCTTTCTGACATCTTTAAACTGTTTCTGAAGATGGCTTGGAGCGTTTTTAAATTGTTTCCGTCTTTCTGTTCTTGTTTCTCTCTTCACAGTAAATGAGATCATCGGCAGAGACATGTCCCAGTCCCCCAGCGCTCACGGCCCTCAGTCGGCGCACAACCATTCGTAGCGCAGATCTTTGCCTGAACTGTCCCTTTTTTTTTTTTTTTTTTGTGGCTCACGCAGCATCACCTCCAGCTGTTAAACCCTGCAAACGCCGACCTGGTGCAAGAAGACTGAAGACTGTGGTGAAAGGTCTGTTTTCAACCATGAGATCTCTGATATA